ACATAATCATAAGACAATACTTTGTGAACTTGGCACCTAAAACTTAACCAATGTATGGAAAAACTAAAACTACCACCCCAACTAATACAAACTGAACAATATTTAACTAAAGGTAACTAATAAAAAATAGCTAACAAGCTACAAGAATTAGACAAGCAAAAAGTAGCAACGAAATAATACACAACACTACAAAACACAAAATCTTACCAAATATTTTAGTCTAGTTTCTAGTCCAAATATCTCAGTACATTTGAAATAAGACAAAACTAACTTACAAGTAACTTTTCAGTAAGATATATGAGCGTGTTTTAAGTAAATAATTCCTCAGTATTGATTAAAAACAGTAATATTTCCATTGGCTGATTATTTCACTTATTATAAGCCAATGTTCCCATATTGAAAGTGAAATTATCTGCCAGTGGAACCAGAACTGGGTTGCCAGGTGATGGGCTGGGTTGCCAGGTAACGGCGCCAGTGGAACGTTTACATTTTCTCCAATATGAAGGAATTATTGACTTAAAACAAGCTCATATGTCTCACTGTAAGTAAGTTTTGTCTCATTTCAACTGTACTAATTCATTTAAAACAGAAACCAGACCAAAATACTTGGTGAGATTTTGTGTTTTTGCAGTGCTATAATGAAAACTCCAGAACTATTCAATGCCTGGTTGGACGGAGCCGCCGCTGTCTGACTGGCTCCGGTCCAATTCCCTGCAGGTAAAACTTGTTTACTTAATGGATCCTGAAAAGCTGACTTGTGTTTACTGATAATGATTGCAAGCTTTAAGATTAGAATCATGGTTTAAATGGTCCTGCTGCAGATTACGCTTCAGATGTTCGGTTGGATGTTCAGAAAAATGCTCAGGGATGCTTTAGCATGTGGACTGAAGTAACCTCTACACTGCAAAAACAGAATCCTAACAAGTGTTTTGGTCTAATTTCTTACTAAACTTGAAGTAAAACAAAACTAACTTAAGTCATCAGCAAGATATAAGAGTTTGTTTTAAGTCAATAATTCCTTAATATTGGTGAAAAGGTACTTGCAAGACAAGATATTTTTCCCACATTATTAGTGGGAAAAATATAGATGAAAAATCATCTATATCAACAAATTATTGACTGAAAACAAGCTCCTGTTTCTTGGAGAAAAGTTACTTGAAAGTTAGTTTTGTTTTGTTTTTTTAAGTACAAATTTATATTTGATAGAAACTAAGCGAATCTTACATGGTAAGATTTTGTGGTTTTGCAGTGTTTAAGAAAAGACAAATCCTAAATTTCCATCATCTGTTCTTGTTGAGCATATCTGGATGATTTATTTCCTAATTTTGCACGTTCAAACTGACAAACAAATTGTCCTTCCAGTCTTGTTAGACTTGCAGAGCGTCACTGCAGCCGCCGTCCTCCTCTCGCTCTGTTAAACGGGTTCTGGCAGCGGGGTGGGGCGGGGGATTACCTCTCGATCCTTTTCGCAAAGCTCACACCAAACAATCAACCGCTGGAAAATAATCCTCTGAGACGCACAGACACTCGAACACGCCTGTAGCTGGGATGACCACAGATGTTTCGGCAATCATTTACACAGAATCTGCACTTCAAGGCACCTCGTTTTGTAGCTGTAATATATCAAAACTTCGAGCTTTGTCTCAGTTTTTGTGGTTAAACCAGCCACGTTTCAGAAGGTGTTAAAAGAGGGACGGCAGCACAAGAGATTAGTTTGAATGAAATCAGTTATCAAGGGATAAATTCAGAGGTTTAGAAGCAAGCTGATCCTGTATTTTTCTCAGATTAAGATTTATTACACATCAATCAAGGATTATCCCAGAAACCAACCCTCTGAGCTTATAATTAACACAGTAAAGAGTAAATGTACAGTTATGACTTCAAACAAAATAATTACTAATTAAATAAAACTAAATACATTTCTGGATTTACTAACTCACAGAAAAAAGACACAAATATTAATCATAACCCAGATTAACGCCCATCTTTAAACTCTTTTTAGACTTAATAATATTGTGATTATTAATTTTTCTGTTCTCAAAACTCCCCTTCTTTGTGTTAGTGTGATATATTCTTTGTTTTGATCTGTTTCTGGATCCTTTGACTTCAAATACTGCAAAAACTCAAAATCTTACCAAGTATTTTTGGTCTAGTTTCTGGTACAAAACTCTTAGTACACTTTAAATAAAACAAAACTAACTTACATGTAACTTTTCATTAAGATATATAAGCTTGTTTTAAGTCAATAATTCCTTAACACTGATTTTAAAAAGTACTAGCTCCACTGACAGGTTACTTTGCTTATAACTGGACATTTTTCCATGTAATAAGTGAAATAATCTGCCAGCGGAACAAGAACTTGGTTGCTAGGTAACGGACTGGGTGTGGCTGGGTGTTGCTAGGTAACGGTGACAGTCGAACTCTTACTTTTTCATCAAAATGAAGGAATTATTGACCTTAAACAAGCTTCTATATCTTGCTGAAATGATACTTGTAAGTTAATTTTATATTATTTCAAGTGTACTAAGATATTTACACTCGAAAGTTAAACCAAAAATACTTGGTACGGTTTTGTGGTTTACCCATGTACTGTCTGTTTTATTTTGTTCCTGTATTTATTTATTTATTTATTTTTAAAAACTAAAGTTATTAGAAAAAAAGGACAGGGAGCGAGAACACAAGGAGAGGAAAGGGAACTGCTCCTTAAATGTTCTTCACCTCTTCAGAATAAGAGCATGAATATAAACGTCTAACTACTTGAAGAAGTCTTAACCAAAACTTCAACACAGATGTCAAACTTTAATCAACTGAGAGTTTAAAAAACAACCGAGTAAATTTAGAGTTTATTTAGTGAGCTTAACTGTTTCAAAGTTAGCTAAAACGCTAAGTGAAACATTAGCTCTGCTATTAGCGCATTAGCAGACGTGAGCTCAGGACTGTTTGTAGATAAAACTAACTCCAGGCTGTTTTTACATTAAAAGTTTCAAATATGTGATCATTCTGTTGAATCAAAAAGTTTTAACACATAAATTAATGTTCAAAGTATTATTTTAGAAGCTTCTCTGAATTTCTGAATAGGTTGGATGATCCGAATAAGGAAACTCAGACAGTCCAACTTAAAAACCTTCAAATATGAGGTTACTGTGGCAAAACCTGAGTTTAATGAGGTGAAAGGTCAAGCCTGAATTGTCCCATTCACTACAGTCTTATTTAATATTCTCTCCTAATTCTTGCCATATTTCCTGTTTTAAACTAAATTGTTTAAAATCTTACAAAAATGTTTCTACATTGGTTTCCACTACAACCAAAGCCTTTGTGCTGCAGTATTTATTTATTTTTTTTGGCTGCTGTTTTATCTTAATATGACAGTTTTTTAGTTTGCACCCACCAGTAAAATGTTTTAGAGTTTTCTCCTTTTTTCCACACCTTTAAAGATCAGAAAACATTCCCAAATCACCTGCAAGGAATCAAATTTTCCCTCCTTCGAAGCGAGAAACCTCTTGTTCTCCAGCCCGAGTTATAATACCTGTGTCATGTTTGGAGAAAATCCAGGATTTACTTTAAGCTGCTTGACCTATCTGAACGCGGCGAATTGAATTTCTGTGTTATTAGGGATCCTAAGATGTAATGCGATATAACAGGCTCGTCAGTTCTGTTGATATAAATTCAGACTTTCCAGGCAAGATTTTAGAGACGTAAGAAGTCGAGCCAACAGGACGCGCCGATTCCTCGATTATTGTTTTTCCACATCTAGAGGCAGCTTTGAGTATTAGGGCCGCCGTAGATGGAAACAGGGGGAAATTTCTGCAAAAAAACCCCTCAGAAATGTACTAGAAACACTGTGGAAATATGAAAAGTTAAAATGTTTGACTTTTGAAACTCATTTCTGAGATTAATCTCAAATTAATTTTTGAATTTTCAAACTAAGATATTTTCTTGCTTTTCTTTTTCTATTTTTTTAGAACATTTCTGGGATTTAATTTCAAAATCGTTTTTTCAGCAGAAGTTTTGACATTTTTTCTGGAAAAATTCAGATTAATCTAAAAAAATTGATTTTTTTGAAGCAAATTTTTGAATTTTCAAGGTCAGAAAGTTCCTTGTTTGTCTATACAATTCATAAGATTCATCTTAAAAATGTTCAACTTTTCAAAAACAGAAATTTCCAGAAACTTTCTGAGATTATTCTGAACATTTCTGATTTTTGTTTCTAGAAAATTTGTAACTTTGCAACACAGAAATTTTCTTTTCTTTTTTTTAAAGAAAATTCTGAAATTAATCTAAAATATTTTGGTGGAAATTTGCTCCCTTTTTCTATGTAAAATGTCTCGAATATCCCATTGCAGCTTTGAGTTTCTGAATCAGGAGGAAAATGTTGACATGTTGGCTCCTCCCCTGATTTTGAAACAATATCAGATTTATTGTTGCCATTTGAAGAGGACACTGTGAAATCTTACCAAGTATTCTTGGTCTAGTTTCTAGTGCAAATATCTTAGTTTTGCCTTATTTCCAGTGTACTAACTAAGAAATATTTTCTCAGCAGGTTACAGGAGGATATTTTAAGTCAATAATTCCTTAAAAATGATGAAAAAGTTCTAGTTTATTAGCAGATTGATTCACTTCTAACATGGAAAAATGTTTTGTTATGAGTGAAATAATCTGCCAACAGAAATTTACCTAAAGGAAGAGCCCATACCTTCTTGAAAAGTTACTTGTAAGTTAGTTTTGTTTTATTTCAAGTGTCTTAAGATATTGACATTAGAAACTAGAAGATAAATTCTTGGTAATGTTTGGTGTTTTTATAGCCTTTATTCTGGTCTCATCGCTTTTCTATTTTAGTTTTTTATCCCCCATCCAAATCCGTCCGGCTCTAACTACCTCGTTTCTAAATGATTTTCCCGATAATGGACCTTTCCGCCTCAGATTTGTGTAAATACGACCATGTGGCCAGCTGACATCACCAAACAGTGTTCATAATAAGAATGATGTAAAGATTGGAAAGAGGATTTGCGATGACTACAACAGAGTCTCCCTCCCTCCCCCCTGCGTTTCTCATAACTCCATTCATCGAGGATTACATCTCTTTCCACTGAAACTTGGCAGGACACTAAAACGCACCGTTTCAGTTCAGTACTCGGTCTGGCAGACAATACAGCGGCGCTGAGACGATGAAGGCGTGGAGATGAAACCCTAAAGGAAAACAAAACAGTAGGTGACCTTAGATTACTGCGTCGTTGGTTCGTCATTCACAACATGATGGATTGTAAATAATGACAACAAAATACAGCAGATTAATGCTAATGCAGGTGGTAGACTTTGGGTTTTGTCGTGAAGATATGTTCAGTTTTTAGATTTGTCTTTACCTGGTTGTGTTTTTAGTTTGTGGAAATTAACTATTGCCCCAGACTGCCAATCCTAATCCAGCCGTTCTGTTCCAGGATGACGACACATTCCAGCCCATTTGTCTGTAGGTCAGTCGCAATAAATCAGATAATCAATTAATCGCATGTTGAATTAAAATGAGCTCAATAATTTCCATTTGCAGGATTTATCGTTTTTCTCTTTTTCTACAAAAAACTGCATGACAAAAGCTTTCAGTTTGGTGCTTTGGTCTGATTGATTGAAGGATAATTTTATTTACAGAGACTTTATTATTCATTTTATTTGTTATTTCTGATGGTTTGTTTATTTATTTTTGATATTTAAAATGTCTTCCAGTTCCAGTGTTAAATATTTATTAAAATGTAAAGTTTATTGATCTTTGTGTTCTTGCATTAGAAGGACATTATTATTATATTAGTTGAAAATTGTCTGAAAACAGCAATATTATTATCATATTATCATGACAGGCCTATTTGTGCAGGTTTGCCCTATTTCTGCAATTTAATGCAGAAATAGGGCATTAAATTGCAGAAAACAAATTATTACTGATAGTTTCATCAGTAATAGTTGCGATTCCAACACAAATGTGTGTAAAACTTTGTAAGTATTCCACTAATGTTGACACAACACAATTTTGTAATTGTGGTGTTTCCATTAAATAAGAAACAGAATTAAAATCACACATGAATAAGATTGTTCATGTCATAAATCATTAAAAAACACGCTGCACCATCATCCTCCAACTACTTCCTGTCGTCGTCTTCTTCGTGGTTTCTGCCAGAGGCAACATCTGGTTGTTGGTCATGTGACATTTGTGATCCGAAAAAAACTGTTTCCATTGCAGTTTTGCGAAATACACCAATTTCAAGATGGCTAAAAAAAATTACGTGTTTTCAATAAGCAAATTTATTTTCAAAATGACAATTTACACAATCAATGGATAACCATTGACCGCAAAGAAATCACACAGTTGTCCGTTAAATAAATAATTCCTTTGATTCGAATACCTGTCAGAAGAAAGCCTTTATTTTTGTTTGGCTACAGTCTTTCCTTGAAGCCTCAGTGTACGTTTCCTGCACAGCGGTATTTACCTCTAATTATTTGCAGATTTCCTTACGTGAGAATGCTATCACCCCTCCAAAAACAAAGTGTAGGCCAACTATTTTAAACTTCACGTGCCTAAAGCAAAGGTTTAAGCAGAAATATGTGGCTGAACTCCAATCTCCCCAGGATAAGCTGCCTCCTGTGAATGGGAATGGAGAAAGTGGATTTAGTCCCTTGAATCTGAAGTTTAGCCAAAATGAGCTTCCTTGTAGTTTTGAGCATCCCAAAACTTCCTGACGGGGCAACGGATCCTTTCTAGCCTGGCTATGCCATGGGATCAGCTGGGAAGAGGAGTATCTTAGTTACCTGCCTTAAAGGTGACCTATTACGCTTCCTTGAACAGGGAAGGATATAGGTCTCTGATCTATAAAAACGTGTTACTTGATTTTGCACAAAATCTTTCTCAGATAGTGAGATTTCGGTCTGTTCGGTTCAGAATGAGCTATTTTAGGGTCTCTGTCACTTTAAATCCAAATAAGCTGCTGCTGGTCACGCCCCCAAACTCAACGTTCACACTTGCACATCAAAATGGCTGCAGACAGACGCGCAATTATACCACCATACATCTTTGAAAAGCAGAAGTGGAGCCTCCTGCACAACCAACAAGAATGCAGAAAGTGGTTTCTGGATGGTGAGTCAACAACAAAACACTTGTCTTTTCCAGGTAACCAAACATCCTGGAATTATGACTGGGTTGCTAGGTAACAGGCCTGGGCTTGTCTATGGTTGCTAGGTAACAGTGCAGTCCGTTGAATGTGATGTTACATTTGGGAGGATTATGGAATGGCTCATTTTCTAGACACCAAAAAAATACTAAACTAACACCAGAAAGTGACTTGTTGTTTCTTTTAAGCGCCTCAGTTGTTTTTAGAAGCAGTAGAGATCAAAATGGAGGCATACATAGGTGCAAAATATGAATTTTGCCCAATAGGTTCCCTTTAAATTTACCTTTATTTTGTTGATGAAGATAAGTCCTTGTTAACTTCAAATTTTGCACGATTTGCACTTCAATTTGGGTCTAAACTGCTTCTAAAAACAATCCAAGTTGTTTTATTGCAATATGTTAATGTTTTTTGATGCCTGGAAAATCAGCCGGTTCAAAAACCTCTCAGTGGTGACATCACAAATCAAAAGCTGTCCAAACCGAGCTCCAGCACATTTGGTCAGCTGGATTTATCACTGTATAAGCTGTACAATGGTTGCTGTTGTTGACTTACCATCCAGGAACCCATTGCTGAATTCTTGTTGGTTGTGCGGGAGGCTCCACTTCCGCTTTTAAAGATGTACAGTTGTTTAATTGTGCATCTGTTTGCAGCCATTTTCCCATGCGAGTGTAAACCTTGAGTTGGCCAGCAGAAGCTTATTTGGATTTAAAGTGACAAGAAACCCGAAACTAGCTCATTCTGACACTGAACAGACTAATATCTCATTATCTAAGAAATTTGAAAAATTAATGAATGGGGTTTATATAGACCACTTACCTTTCCTAACGTGTCCAATGAAGCATATAAGGTCACCTTTAAGCCTGGTCCTAAATGTAGGCAGGGTGTCTGCCTCAGGTTAAAACTTTGAGCTGGTTTCACAGCCTGAGAAATGAAAGATCTTAATGAATTTGTGCGCCAGAGGGCCAATATATGAGCATTTATGTGTTTGGATGGATGAAATAACAGAAAAGTATCTTTACCTTCTACCTCTGTGACACCGCATCAAATAAATGGGAAACTTCTCCTCTGATGTTACATGCAGAAAACATGGCCGCCTCACATTTACCAGCAAGTCACTTGTAAGAGGAGTCGGCATCTGGATACAGTTTGTGGTTAGCGATAGCTGCCAAATTTGCCAACATAAGCCACAAAGAGTTGAGGTCTGGATACAATAACTCCACATGAAACTTTATGCAGACCACTTTAAGCCATACTTATTGAAACAACTCTGCATTTTTTTTCTTTATAAACTTGTATAAAAATGCTGAATTCCTCAATTTTCTCAATGCAGAAGCAGCAAAGACTTTAATGTTTTATATTGGTCCAAACACTATCTGTGATTAAGACTCCGTGTTGCTTTTAAAGCTCTCACACAGCAGGTGAGGATGCCGTTGACGTGTAAACTGCATGCTAAGTATTGTGAACTGTCATTATGAATTATTTCATCCTCAAAGCATTTTGATTGCCAGAAATAGATTTAAAGTTGTTTTGTCGAGTGGGACCAGGCCCAGAAATACTTTAAGAATGACAGATAAGTCAGGCTCACTCATCTCAACACCAGGAGCTAAAAGCAGTTACCCTCAAGTACACTTAAGGTTGAAACCCAACATTTACCCTGTGGTACCCTGCAGATGCAAGGCAGTAAAGTTTTATCTCAAACAGAAGGTTGGTATTCTTTAAATACTCTGTTACACAATGGAGAGACTGCATAGGCCTTCAGTAGTAAAGTGGAACATTATTGATTTATCATCTTTCAAGACACAGATCACAAAAAAGTTAAACACACAAATTACATACAGAAAATTAAGCAAAAGCAATGTATAAAACATGGAGTTTTATACTTAATTTAAGTTTATTTGATAGGTACAGACACAAATCAACATAGACAAACTGAACAGAACATTGGTCCCATGTTTGCATCAAAGTGTTTATAGCACAAGTTAATTTAGAAGGGAGTTACTGTGTAAAAGTCACATTTTGCATGTTTTTGTAAAAATGCTTAAGCCAAAGTGCTTTAAAAAACCACACTTATGGTTTTTGGCAATAAGTTAATACTTTTCATTGTCTGTGAAATGAAATGTTTCAAAAACTCCCAGAATGTAATGTCACAAATCAGCAGGCAGAGTGCCGTCACCTAGCAACGCCAGCAGAATTCCGCCCGTCACCTAGCAACCTAAGTGGACCTCCAGCTTGTCAGCTGGTTTTACCTCTGTATGTGCTGCATAATGGCTGCTGTTTTGTTGTTGACTTACCATCCAGAAACTATATGCTGTATTGTTGGTGATGCACAGTTCTGTAACTGTGCATCACCAATAATTGCACATCTGTTTGCAGCCATTTTCCTGTGCGAATGTAAAAGTTGAGTTTGGGGACCTGGGCAGAAGTGTTTTTATTTGAATTTAAATTGACAAGATGCCCTAAAACATCTCATTCTGAAATGACCAGACTAAAATCTCTTTATCTAAGAATAATTTGAAATAAAATGAATACGGTTTTTAGCATTATTTGACAAGCTAACAAACTTACTTTAAGATTGAAGTTTGAGGATCTTTGTTAAAAGTAAACCCAACTTTCTCAATCTCTCCACAGGCAGGATGACAAACCAGCCGACAACCAACCAGTCCAACACAAAAAAGGAGAAGGAGAAAGAGGAAAACGCTCGAGATGACAACACGGACCTTGCGTACAAAGACGCCGGCCACTGCAGCCGTAACACCCACAACCTGCTGCTCGGACTCACTGTTCTTGGTACAAACCCACTTTACAGCTCAGGCTGCTTCACTGTGTTATTGTGCAAACAACAAGTTTCAGCTTTTACTTCCCATACTGCCTGCTGAGTGGCTAGTTTGTTGTCTTTTCTTTTAAATCATGTTTTGCAGCAAATGTTGCTTAACGCAAATCAAGATGTACAAACTCTGTGATCATTTTCCCACAAGACTTGTGCCGGCTTGTTGTTGTCTTTAGCCTGCTTTTGTAAACACTTAGCTATGTTTCGCCATAGCTGCATTCTTGTAGGAAAAAAAAATCCATGCAGAGCTTGAGAAGTGTGTTATTTTTTGTCTGTAATTTGTCACCAAGATTTAAACTCAGATATGAAGCCGTTTACATTACGGTAGATGGCTCTCATTAGTCAGAGTTCCCTTACATCCAAGATGTAAAACAACTGGCTAGTGACTCCACTCAGAGCCTGTAAACTACATGGACAATCTGTTTTGTTTTATTTTCTACTTCTTCAGCTAAACAGGTGTACAATGATTTTAATTCCTGATTTTTGACTCGGTTGAACAAGTGAACAGAGATATAAATTTCTCTAAGGACTTCTGTTGAAAACTAAACCACAAAAACTTATTTTTAGAAACTTTCAACATTCATATTAGCCCCACTTCTGGAAAACTTTAGCTACTTCTTGCTGTCAAACAAAATAAAATGACTAAGGAGTGTTTATGATTCCTCAGGTGTTGTCATGGGAGTGGTGTTTGGGATGCTGCTGCGCTACATGATGGTGAAAGACACTTCCGCCCTCACCATGGTCTCCTTTCCTGGAGAAATCCTCATGAGGATGCTGAAGATGCTCATCCTGCCTCTAATCATCTCCAGTCTTATCACAGGTGAGACAAATCTGCTAAAGTAAAAAACAATGGCTTCAGTTAGGCTATTTGAACTTTAGAGGTTGATATCTTCTTACAGTAAAATTATTATAATGTTCTTGAGACGTAAACTAACCAAACAAAAATAACATCACACGCAGATAACATGTCATTTATCTAAAACAAATAAATTTTCAAGGGAAAGAAATCTATTGGAGAACCCATCTGACAACATGAAGTAGGCTAAATTATCTAAAAGAGCTTCACATCATGTTTTGTTCCAAAGAAACGCAGGAATATATAAGAAGTAAAGTTATTGACAACATCTGTTAGTTTGGAAAGGGTTGCAAAGCCATTGCTAAGGGCCTAATGAATTGGCTTTGTTGGTTGATAACCAAAATTTCATCAAACTTTATTCGACTGAAAGTTTACAAAACAGCGTAGTAAATTAGCACAATTCATTTAGAGGAAGCTAATCATGCTAAATGTTTTCAAAGTTAGCAAAAACGCTAAAGCACCAAGCAAAAACATAGCTCTAGTATTAGCACATTAGCAGATTAGCTAAAATGTGCTAAACGCTAAGGTGCTAAACAAGACACCAGCTATGCTGTTACTACATTAGCGAATTAGCTACAGTTTTTCCGCCACTGTGTAAGCAAGCAACACTGAAAGCCATTTTCCACAAATATTGGATTAATTACCCTGGTTAATATTAGCGTTCATGATTCAAAACTAGGAAATAAATTAGACAAAAATGGAGAGTTCCTAGTTTGTTAAGCAAAACAACAAAAAACACAACAGTTCATGTTATGAATAGTAAATCATTTTGATAAAGTCTTTTGAGAAAATATTTTGTCGATAATATACTTATTTTTCATGAAATACATAACTTAAATCATCTTTTTAATATACTTTTACTATTTTTGATAATAATATTAGTTTTAATTATTAAAAATGCCAACGAAGCAAAATGAAGAAGCTTTAGTCTGCTTTTGTAAACAGTATATTTCTTCACTTATTTTCACAAGTATACTTTTTCACGTGTCTGTGCTTCTGTTGATAAAATAAAACACACCCCATGCACATTTCTATAAATACTTTCACCACACCCAGAGTGAATAATGGAACTGTTTACCTTGCTAGCAGAGCTTGTAATCCCTTTACTCGGCGACTGGAGGGAATCTCTGCGGATGAATCAGGATGTTTCCGTCATAGTAAACTTTAGTCACTGAGGTGCAGTTTTAGAATTGCATTATATGCTGAATTAAAGTGTCCAATACAACCAGGCTTAACAGTGGCTAGTGCTAGTTAGCGTACATGTTTCACAGGTGAGATAAATCGGTAGCCATATGCTTTAAATCTATATAATTTCTATAAAAAGTACCATATTAAACACAGATAGGAATAAATCTTTGCCCTACTTCTTGTTTTTCTCTTTTTTTTTTAACAAAGCAGGACAATTGTTTCATAAACGCTGGCTTTTGGGTTAGCTTTGGGTTTCCCTGTTGCTACTACATCACTACCACAAGCGGTAGGGTGGAGATAACGTGAGATTGCATTTTCTGCTTGGTGCGTGACCAGAACTGAGCTCGTATTCAGGCTCATTTGCCTAATTAGGTTCTTAAGAATCCAAGTTCCTTAAAATTAAATGGACCATAGCAAAACAGCTAATTAGCAACAGATGCTGCTAGCAAGGTTAAAAGGCTTAAAATCAACCTTTTGTAACGAGAACACAGTTAATAAACCAATAAACTCTTTGAAGCCTTGGAGGAAAAAGTGTTTTTTACTTATAAGGCTACAAAATATTTAAATTGGCAACTTTTAGTAGAAATTTCCCCTAAAACAATCCCACCACGGCTAAGTAATTTTATTTGTCCTGGAATACTTGAGTCATGCTTTAGAGACATGGCACCATTTTCAAAGTCTTCTTTGTGACAGCTGATGGGTACCGGCGGGCGAAGCGGCATGCGGCTCGGGTGGTTGCTGAGACAAAAACCCGGGCGTGGGAGGAGTTTGGAGAGGCCATGGAGAAAGACTTCCACA